ATTTTGAATCTCACACATACATTGATTTTCAATTAATTTCCTTTAAGGAATGTCTTAAAATTATACAGTGATCATATGAAGTAGAATTTAGGACTAATCATCTGTCATCCGCCATGTTAAAGTTTGCAGCGGAATTTTATTGCAAGCTAAATATGGGGGCAGTTCTTGGTTTAGCTTAGCAGCTTCTGAGCCTTCTGTAGTTCCATAGACATGCATAGAACATTGAAGGAAGAGAAAAAATGGCAGTGTAGGTAGGCTTACTCCCATTGGGGATGGTGGGCTTTATATTTTTGGCTGCCAATTTTTGCAGAAACCTAATTTGGGAAGGAAAGAGCCCCCTCCGTTTGTCAGTGAAAGAAAGGACAATTGGAATGTCACGGCTTAGACTTTCATAAGAAGCACAAGTAGTTCCTCTCCATTGCAGTAATTGAGACCGTGGAGAAGAGGAAAAATTATTTCTGGCTAAACACAAGGAAAGAATCCAATTCTCTCCCCAAAATCTCCAGGACAAAATGAGATGGCTTTTCTTCCCAAAGCTGGCCATTTCCCAGGGAGATGCTTATTACTGGCAAGAAAATTAATTTAGCTAGTGATACGGCTTTCAATGAACACTTGTAAAATATTATAGATTATCAATATTGTAAATTGAATTATATAGGAGTGCAGTCCTAACTTCCACCCGTACTGGGTAGAGGGAACAACATCCCATATAGGTCACAGGACTCAGGTTGCATTAATGACTCTGTGGGGAATCTCACTGGGCTACTTGTAGATTGGCCTACCTGCTAATTAGAAATAAAAATTATATTCTGCTTAAGACACAGGCATTTTTGTTACAAATTATTCCTGGCAATACATTGAGAAGTAGAAAGGGGAACAATATGAAAACTCTTAATTCAGACATGATTCTTGATGATCTATTTTTACATGCTGATATTGCATGTTATATGATGTAATCAACATTGTAAGAGTTCTAAGAAAAGCGGTATATTGTACACACTGCTCAGATCAGGATAGAAGACAAAATAACATTCTCCTGACCGGTAGTGTTACTCTATACGGATGTCATTAAATTATCATTGATAAGCTTGATTTTTATCTTTGGCTCATAAAAACAAATGCTTCTAATGGCTCTCTAACAATTTGCCAAATATTTCCCAGGAAAAATATGCCCTACGGGTCTTTTCAAAATGGCTTTATCTTCATTTTTTCCAAATTACTCATTATTTGCAGTGAATTCATTGCTACTGAAAAAAGAAAATAGTTTAATATGCCTCCTACACATAAAATAGCTAGAAATAGAAATTGAAATGTAACTGCTTTGTATCTAAGTAATTCCAGATGAATTTTCTCTCAGAAAGGATACAAGGTTTTTTTTCCTGTTCCTTTTTTTTGTTTGTTTGTTTTTGTCCAAGGTTTTGGAAAATAGAACAGATTTCCCCAAATGTACCCTCTAGGAAGTTGGGTGAGGCTGCTACTGGTTATAGTAGTTTTACCTTGGTGGCAATTAGAAAAGGTGATTTTTTTTCAAGCAACATCTCGTGGTACTTTTCACCAATGGTATGCTTGGGAAATGGATTTAATGATATAGCTTGGAAATAAATAGAATCAGCATTTGTGTTGTTATAATTCTTGAAGTTGAACTTTGCAATAGGAAAAAAAAAGAATAAGGGGAAAACTTTAAAAACTTGCTTTTTGCTTCTCTGGCACTGAACTCC